AATTATTTCATCATTATTATAAAAATTAATATCAGGATCCGAATAGTTGTTTAATAGTATTGACTTTTTTGATACAAATGAATTAAAATTTATGTTTGTTAAAACAGTTTCATCAGCCATTTTAAATCAGAAATAACTTAAAGCAATATTAAAATTCAAAAAAGTAATATAAAAACGTAAGAAAATCATTTATCATTATTTTTTTTTTATAAATTCTCTAACAATAAACTTATCGTATATAACAACGGAATACTTACCATTTATTCTGTGCAATTTGCTTTCTTCAAGAAGTTTCTTTCTTATTGTGGAAGTTTCCAGCGAAAAATCCTCGTTGATATAAATTCCGGATCCTTTCAGTTTATTGGCATTTTTTAGGATTTTTACTTTGTCTTTATGGTTAAGTAACTTAATTACAATTGTTCTTGGATTTTTTTTTTCAATAATGCCAGTTCTATGCGCTCTTTCTATGATTACCCCATTTACATTGAGATTATTTTCAAAAATGTTTATTATTATTTTTTCCGTATCATCCCAACTTTCGTTGTCATTTTCTTTAACTCCTTCAATTCGAAGATTATTTCGCCTTTGTCGATCTTCCAGCTGTTTAAATTTATTTTTTTCATTCTCACCTATATTTGCATTCGATGACTTTTTTTTGTCATTGCAATCTTGATAAAACGTTAGACTTTCCTCAATATCTTTTTGTGTTTTTTCAAACTTTATCAACTGCTTGTTAGTTTTATTTTGATCGGCATTTCGGTTTACGTTATCTTTTTTTAACATTTCACAAGTTTCTTTTAATGTACTAATTTCTTTCAGCAATCCATCGATTCGATCATTAGTCAGTTTTAAATTTGCACTTATTAACGATAGTATATCATTTTGTTGTTTTTGGAACATTTCTTGAAAAATTTCCTTAACTAATTTTATCGAGACGTCAGTGATTTGTTTTGAACTCATTTTTAATCTCAAGTTAAATACCAGTTATAAACAAAATACCAGTTAAAAGTTAAATACCAGTTATAAACAAAAATTTTAAAAATTAAGTTCAAACAATTTTATTAAAAATTTACAGCGCAAGAAAAAAGACTCACTTTCACTGAACACATCTTCTACTTATAAAAATCTGTACAAAATAATGCAAAACTGTTTGCATTAATATTTTTTAATATATTTTACAAAAATTGAAACTAAAGAGATAGTGTCATTCTGTTTAAAAGTGCTATGTTGGAACAATTTAGTTAAAAAGTATCTTATTTCTTTTTGTTATAAGAGTTTAAAAATATATGGGTTTACTTGTGTCAACTTAACACTTTTTGAGATATATTATTTTTTCTGATAAAAATTTAGTTAAAAAACATTAAAATTTTGATAAATTTTAGTTGTTTCATTAGGTATTACATGTAAAAAAAAATGTGTCCAATAATCTATAAAACTCAGGGCCGCCGAGAGGGGGCAACCCGGGAGGCAGATAATCAAGGGGCGCCAAGTAAAATATAGGTACCTAAAAAAAAAAAAAGGTCTCTCATATATAATATTTGATAAATAAGGGCGCCAATCAGGATTGCTGTCCCAGGCGGCGTGACAGCTCTTGGCGGCCCTGATAAAGCTAATACTCACATTTTTATAAGCTGCAGTCTAAGATTGCTTCTTCATACAATTATCACTACTTATATAGTGACATTTTTTCTTATATAATACCAAAAATGACTTTAATGTTAGGGTTGTTAACCGGAGGATTTCGTGCAATTCCGGAAAAACAACATTCTTTCGTAAGGAGATTGAGAACACGGAATTACATTTTTTCGTACCGAATGTTACAAAACATTTAAAATCGCCGATGTTCATTTCGCAAAAGCCACTTCCGAAATTTAGCATTTCGCAAGTTGACATACAAAACAAAACTATTTTGCAACATACGAAAGTAGCGGTTTCGAAAGTCGCACTTGCGAAACAAACATTTTCGCCAAACGACGTTTTGAAGTCTATAAAGAAAATTTGTTTGCCAGACTGATTTTAATTGTAAAAATTAACATCTTTAAATCCCAAAATGTTTATAATGAATTTTTATTTTCAGTAAAATAACTTATTAAATTTTTACGGTTTTATTTTTAGAAATATTGATAAAAAATAAAATTTCTTTCGAAACGAAAGTATTTCGGATCACAACATACGAAAGAATTCTTAACAGAAATAAACTTACGAAACGTGCCATAATAAATATATACAACGATGTTTTTTGAACTCATTACGTATATTAAAAATAAGAATGATGGGTAGTAATATACATGTTTTTTTTTTTAAGCATATGACATTTTTGAAACAGGTTCGAATATGCTTAAGCAAATAGTAAAAAGAGGCTCAAAAATATGCTTTAGCTTAAGCATATTTCTGATAAAATATACCTATTTCAATAATTTCAAAAGTGTGCACGTTACTAAAACTCTAGCAGATTTTAAAGGTATGTAGAGTCCTGTTTGAATACGCTTTTCAAAGTATAGATCATAGAAAATATTGTTTTTTGAATTTTAATAAGATATAAATTTGAGTATAAGATTGTATAGTTCAATCAGTTAGATACGTGATAATTCGCCGCAGAGATCCGGGTTCGCATCCCGCAGCCATTGTAACTTTTGTTCATCAAACTCTTTTTACTTAAGATAGCATTATTTGACCTCCATGTTCTATATTACAGATCTTTCGTCGCCTTCACAGTAGTGACAACCTCTCTTCTGTTAGTTATTCTTTTAAGATTGAGTTCATTGTGCTTAATTCAACACGTTTCCCTTGCTTTACTAAGTTCTACTTAAATTATGATGAAATGTACGTAAAACAACTTTTTCAAATAATATAATTCGTTTTAATATAACCATTTCTGAATATAATTTACCTGAGGCTCCTACAGCCTATTGTGTTCCATTAAAAGTAACTAGTTTTTGAGTCCAGATATTAATTATAAGCATCTAAAGGTTCACATTACTATTCATTTTCCTGATATATAGAATCCTATTTGCATACGTATCTCTTTCTGTAAATTCTGTTTTATATAGTTTCTTAATTATATATTAAATAAATATTACTATTCTCTTAGTTGAATGAACGTATAGCTCATTCAGTTAAGACATTTGGCCGCGTAGACTAAGGTTCACATCCCGCTGTTTCACATATATTTTTTCTCTTTTTACTCTTTCTGATATCATTTACCTTTAGAGAGATCTCTCGTTCTTTATAATAAAGTATTTAATTGTTTATCACACAACCTCTTTATACTTTTTAAAAAAAAAAGGCATACTGTTTATCTATTCATTGAGAGTCCGACTTAACATGATTTTACTGTATATATAAGTATATATTTATATATATATATATATATATATATATATATATATATATACATATATATATATATATATATATATATATATATATATATATATATATATATATATATATATATATATATATATATATATATATATACAGTAAAATCCCGTTAATGTATATATATATATATATATATATATATATATATATATATATATATATATATATTAGGTATATTTGTATAAACATATGAAGAATCATTTGACAACATTTTTTTATAATTTTATTATTTATTATTTAATATCTTAAATATATCGTAACATTAAATCTTTTGCGGCTTTTTCGTAACTACACATTCCGGAATGCTTTTTCCGTAAGGAACTATTTCGTAAGTATTCTTACAAAATGATTTGTTTCGCAAGTTTTCTTTTGCAATGCTTTATTACGGAATTTTATTTATTTATATTTTCGTATAGCGCGTTACGGAATGTGCATTTTCGCATGTGCAACTTCCGTAATAACAATTCTATTACGGTAGATAAAGATGCGAAATTTTCGCAAGTTTTGTTTTTCGGCGAACAACCCTATTTAATGTATCATTTGTACCTACTGCCTATCTTTTGCAACGAATTTATGTTATTTAAACTAGTATATTTTCTGAATAAATCATGTTTTTGAATTAATTTTTTTTAAATAAAATTGGAAATTTATTTGAATTTCAATAACAACAAATTTTATTTTGTTTTGGTAACATTGATTTAAGCGCAATGTCCACTGTTTGGCCCACTGAGCATTGGTATTTTAAGAGAATATAATTAAAATAAATGCCTTTGATTTTATTTTTTGATTTGTGCTTAAATTTATACATTAAATTACATTAAGTGTGCTTCATTTCAAATTTTTCATCAAAAATATTTTCGGTAAGAAAAGATCCATCATTCCAGGTATCTAAATTAATTCTTCTCCGGAATCTGCTTTTTAACACTCAAATCTCTTTAAATCATTCGTTCTACAATAAATTTTTTTTAATGAAAAATATCATTTAGCGCTTTTCAAAACCACATGAATCTATTTTGGATATAAAACCAACTACCAAGCCGGCATTTGGTCCTAAAAAGACGTCTTTCGAACGTTCATAAAACGTCTTTTTAGGAATGCCGGCAAAAGTCCGTTGGGTAACTAATTACGTTTCAGACTAAATACAAAATAACAACCAATGAAAATTACCTTAATGAAACTAACTAAAACAATTTTAAAAATAGATTTCAACATTGCTTGATTAATTTGTATATATTCTATATATTTTTTTATATATTCTGTATATCTTTTTAACACCGTGGTGTTACCTAAAATTGAAATCTAAAATTAAATTTTCTCCTGGTGTAATCTAAAACTAAAATTTAAAACCAAATTTAATCCTATTGTAATCGAAAAGGAATAACTCGTGTTTATTTTTGTTTACAATTAATTCTGGCGAAAATCTATTTTACAAAACAATTTTTTATTAATTAATAAAAATGTATATAAAAAGTTAGCTTATACAAATTTTGTTACTTGTTTGCAATTTATAAAAACGTCACTTCCAAAAAAGGTTTCGGTTTTAACAAAAGAATTTTGATTTCAATTTAAGATTTTGACAAACGAAAAAAATTAATTAAAAATATATCATCAAACAGTCAATCATAAAGTAACTTTATTTTGCGCTAAAAAGAAAAGTTAAGGCAAAGGAGAATGTGTTCGAGAATCCAAATAAGACTTTAGTTCAGAGCTATTTCTAACTCTATCATTCAGCTCTGTTAACAAAGGAAAATGATTTAATAACGATTTATCGACCAGTCCAGTAATGTGGAAGAACTCCAAATCTCCAAGAGTAATCTTAAACAAATAAAAAGTGAAAACTTCAATTATATATTTGTTTTTTATACTATTGCCTTCCACAATCGTTAAAATAATAAGAAACTGTATACAATTAATAAAAACACCATTAAACAACAATATATATATATATATATATATATATATATATATATATATATATATATATATATATATATATATATATATATATATATATATATATATACAGTGCCGGATCAGGAGGGGGCTAGGGGGGCTTAGCCCCGGGGCCCGCAAATTTAGGGGCCCCCAAAAAGTTTAGAGGACCCTTTTTTTTAAGTTATTTTTAGGCTCTGAATTATAAAAAGGCCTCCAAAAATAAAAATAGCCCCGGGCCCCAAGTTTTAAACCTTACTGAATCATCTACAAAAAAACCATGACCATCATTATTACATTTCAGTAAACTCAAATAAACAAAAACAAACAACAAAAAAAATATATATTTATATATAAACTATAAACCTTACCGAATCACCTACAAAATAACCATGACCATCATTGTTACGTTTCAGTAAACTCTCAATGAAAGACAACTTTAATTTAGTTGCCTCCCTTGTAAATACTTCTTTATAAGCTTCTTTCTTCAAAATGCAACAAAGAAAAAATTAAATAAGTAAAGTTTTAGTTCAAATAGCCAATAAAAATTGATAAAGAAAAAAAACCTTTTGTTCATTGTCTAATGTTTCGTTTCTCCAAACATCAGCATAATCGTTCCAGAAATCTTTCAGAGTTTCACATACTTGATTTATGATCAATCTTTCAGAAGCATTAGCTCCATTAAGACCGAATGTTTCTGCTAAGTATGAGGTTATAGCTGCAGACTGACAAGCAACATGTCCATCAATTTCTAATGTTGGCATTTGTCCCAAAGGAAATCTAGAGCCTATATTTTGAAGAGAGCACATAAAAGTAATAAAGAAGAAAATCATAACATCTGCACACGCACAAACAGACACACACATAAGTTGTATTTAATCTTACGATCGCTTTTCTGTGAGGGCCAATCTTGAAAATTGATTTGATTATCTACAAACTCCACACCTTTGCAATGAAACAAAAGTCTCGCTACCTCACCCTTTCCTTGGATGTTAAAATAATTCAATACATATTTAGGCGACATTTTGTACTATATGTTAGAATTTTCTACTAAAAATGAATCACATAACATTTATATACATGTTTTACAAAAAAAGAAGTTTAAATTTTTGATAAAATTTATAACTTTAGCTTACACTTTTGAAGTTTTTAAAAACTTGCGATAACGCTTTTTTCAAATATAACTTTTAAATGGTTTATTTAGTTTATGAGACCCAAGTTCCTTTTTGACCTTTTTTAAAAAGTAAATAAAGCCAATCATTTTTCCTATTATTATCATAATTTTCAATGTATATTTTATAGGGTCAAATAGAAGTATTGAAAATTTATAATTCAAATGTAATTTTAAAGTTTACCTTCTCTTCATTCGTGTATTTAAAGGCGTAAAAGATTTATATATAAAATATATAAATTTTATATATAAAATATTAAAATGAACTATCAATTGAATTACATTTGCAATAGCTTATTTTATAAAGGATTTATGTAATAAACAAAGCTAAGAAAATAAATGTGCTAATAAAGTCAAAAAAATTTCAATGACATTGAGAGAGGCTGTGAATGAGTTATTACAAATCATGATGGTTAGCTTATCTTAATAAAAGCTTATCAATGTTTAAAGGCATTTATTTATATGTTTGTAAAAGATGAAACGTGAAGCCAACATACATTTAATGCATTATTGATGTCTAAAAATTTGTTCAAATTATTTAGCTGTAATAGTAACTTATAAACTGCTAATTAAAATTACAAATTAAAAATAAATAGTAAAATGTTTCATGATTTGTTCGCAATATTGCGCCTATAAAAACTTTAATTAATATTTGGCGTAACTTTATGGCATGGAGAAAATTTCACATTTGATAACATTCACGTTTAAGATTGTGTTAAAACATAATATTTAAAATATATTTAAATGACAATTAATTTTAAAAGGCTTTAAGTAGAAATATCTATATGAATACTCACAAGGCCGGCACGAGATGGAAATTTTAAAACCTCTTTTACAGTAAAACCAATTGGTCAACTCCCCCCCTTCCTCTCTCACTTGACACTAACTCGCGGCGGGCTTGAATACTCATATAAAATATAAAAAAACAAAATTTTCTCATTTATTTTTTATAAAACACTCATAACATTTCATTTTTTTCCTGGTTACCAACAATATTAAAAAAGAATTCATTTTTTTCCTGGTTAACATTTATATTAAAAAAAATTTTTTTTAGCAAAATAAAGTAAAAACGTTAGAAAAACTTTACGCTACGTACAAACAAATGATTTCGCAAGATTTTTAGAATAAGTATTAACATAAAAGAACTCACATTTTATTTCATTCATAATAAGAGATACTTTTCATTTATCTTTAACAAAAAAATTAAACTTGGTTCCAACCGTACTTATTTAAATTACAAAATTTTGTATACTATTAACTTTAACTTATTGGAAAATTATACTTTATTAAATTTTTTAAAAATATTTTACAAAGTAAATCATTTATTAACATTTTCTATCTATTTAGTTTTTTTTTGGACATTTAGTAATTTTTTTAAACATGTTTGAGTCCTGGTAAAATGGGAAGTTTCACATAAAAACCAAATAATTAGATGAATTTATGTAAATAAAAAATTAAAAAATATATATGGTTGCAACTTATTTGGGTTTCGATAGACAGTTAACAAAAATTCTTTTTAGATATTTTTGTGTTTAAGGTGGTCGACTGCTAAAAAAATTATTTTTGTATTTTACAATATTTCAATAAATTTTTTTACTTCAAACACGATAAATACATTAGAAAATTCATAATATTTTTTTTTTTTAATATATATTTTGGGCAAAAACAGGTGATTTTAGGCCAAAAACAGGCTAAAATCTTGGCAAAGATATCTCAAAAAGTATAGTTTATTAAGTTCTAATTTTTTGTATTTTTATTTGTTTTATGTAGATAAATGTCCTGAGATAAAAGTTTTTGTTGAAAATTTCTTTATTTTAAAGCATCGTTAGATTTTTCAAAGCGCCCAATTAATAATCGAATTTCTGATATTAAGAACAAAAAGTTTGTTGTTTTAAAAGTTTATATTCTAAATTTTTTTTATCTCAGGACATAAAACTTATTATATTGAATCTCTGTACAAAATTTTAAGTCAATTGGACAGTTACAGCTCCTGCAATCTTTGCCAGAAAATTAGAAGAATAAAACAGAGAAAAAAGCATATAAAATTAAAAATATTGAATATACAAACTTATTAAAATCCCCCTTTTTTATAATGCTCTTCTTAATTTTTGTATTTTTTATCAAACCCTTTCCTAGTTGCTTTAAGATTTTTTCTTACTAACTAGCGATTGCTATGAGCGTTGCTAGGGGAAACAAAATTACCCTACTAATATAAATCACTTTTATTAGTTCTAAATTTTTTTTCTAATAGGAAGATCTATATATTTTTAGACTCTACATCAGTTACTGTTTAAAACAATGCCACTTTTGAAAAATCGTTTTTTTCTAACTTTTTTAGCAGTCTACCACCTTAAGTTCAAAAAAAAAAAAATTAGTTTTTTAGCATAAAAACTTTAACTTAATAAAAAAATAAACCGCTCGAAAGTTTACGCTTACTTATTTTTAATGACGCATTACTTTGTAATTTTTCAAAAAACGGGGTCCTTCAAGCCGTTATTTATGTTGACTTTTCAAACTTATTTTTCAAATACGATAACAACTAGTAAACTTCAGATTTTTTATTTTTGAATTAAATCTTACTTTCTTATAAACTATCTACTCCAGCCTAAAACAATTTAATACCAAAAATTGCTCGTACCTAATATCTGAGGCGGTTCTATAAATAAAATGAGAGAAGTAGGGGGTGAATCTTTGAAAAGTACCGTTATCTTTTAAAAATAAAATAACAACCTAAAATAATAACGAAAATAAACAAAATAAACAAAAATAAACAAATAATAAAATAAACAAAAAATAAAAAAATAACTTGTTATCTCATAAAAATAAAATTAATAAAAGTTCAATTTCCCTAACTTTTATTTTACCGAATTTAGCAAAATTACATCAAAACAAAATTTGAAAAATAATAATATTATATCAATAAATTCATAATGATATCATTTCTAATAATTACTTCAGTGTAATAGTCGTGATCATACTATAAATTTATATAAAAAATTCATTACCAATGGTAAGACGTACATTTCTTTAACCTGAATAATAAATCATTAATTTACTTGCATCGATGATAAAATTACTTGAATATTCTTTTCTTTCCAATCTTTTTCATACCAACTTTCAAACCACAAACAAACTACAAATGATTTGTATACAACCTTTTTCCTTTTGATCTTTTTTTTTTGTTTTTATTTTTTTTATTAAAACCTCTCAAGATCTCAAGTAATTGCAAACCAAATTTATTTTTTTAATTTGTATGTGTAACACGCTTATACTTAAAAAACTATGTTTAAAAAAAAATATCGTTAAAGAAAGTTGGCACAACATTTTAGAAAATTCCTGCTGTGTCAATCCGTATTGTGTACGTGTGCAATTAGGATTTAATTTGACAAAATAAAAGCTGTTAAAAAAAAAACTTAAAAAAGAAAAGAATTTTTTATCAAGAGTTACGACTAATGCTCATAGAATTTGGATTTTATATTTATTCATTTCTGCTCATCAAAACTTAACCTTGAAAAGAATTGTTAACATTTTTGGCAACAGATATACCGTTGTTACATCACGTAGTACCAACTATGTGAAGTTTTCTTTCAATTACTTAATATGAAAGATACTTACGAATATATACTTCGAATAAAAACACTAAAAAATAGACAAATCTTTGCAATAATATTGGTATTGTGATTTCAAGTTTTTCTTTAAGTGATTTACTTCTTTTAAATATAAAACAAAAAAAAAAAAAAAAAAAAGCGTCAAATTATTGGTACAATATTGCAGTTTATATGTTTTATATGCAAAAAGAACTTACAAACGTATATACTAGTGTTTGCAATGCGTTACATGCAACAAGCGCATTAAAAGCTTAAAAATTGGTCATAAGTGGATTTTTTCAAATTCAACATTCTTATTAATTATTTTATTAGAAATTATACTAAATGATTAGAAAAAATATTTGCTTGGTCCTCTCTTGCCAAATACTTTACTCAGACAAGTATTTTCCTACTCTTTAAAAGGTGGAAAAAAAATTAAAAAAATTCGCTAAAATTCGCGCACTTCTTATACTTTTTCATTTTGCAATTTTTTTTTTAAATTAGATGGATGACTCATCCAATTTTTTTTATTATTATCAAAAAGCCATATATGAGCTTTTTTCTGTTTCAAAAGCAAAAAAGCTGCAAATTTTAGATATCTCTTTTGCTAAATGAGTAACTAAAATACTAAGTGAAAATTTATAATTTCCAAATAGTATAATTTTTAAAAAGTTCCATAGAGTTCTACCCTTAAATGAATTTTTTATCATGTCATAAATAACCCCCCACCAAAAAAAATTTAGCTGCCCCAAGTTGCCCGAAATTGATTATATGCTTAAGTCTTAAAAATATACATTCGTTTAAAAAATACACCTGCCAAAATGATGGGTTGAAAACTTTACGAGGTCTTATGAGTTTACTTCTGAACTCCAAAACCTTTTTCTATGATATTTGAATTATGAAATAATTCAAATTTCATAAAAAAAGCTTTTGGGATTTAGAAGTAATGACCTCGTAAAGTTTTCAACCACCTCAATTTGAGGAACCCATTCAACCCCATCAACATAATTTATGTTGATAAATTTAAATCAACATAAATTTATGTAATTTTTGAAAAAGTTATGTTTGAAATTTACCCTCCCAAAGGGTTGGGAAAGAAGGGTAGTAGTTTGGGTTTTTTTGTTCCAAGCTCTAACTACGGTAATTTTTTGTAATACATTCCAATTTGACCTTAAAATTGAAAAAGAAGTGTTCACACCATGACTGAAATATATCTATATTGAACATGTAAAATCTGTGGCTTCAGCTCTGCAATTATACAGCGTTTCATGG